AAGAGAGAATACAAGAGCCTCCATGTCAGAGAGGGAGCGAGACTTGGTAACCCCTTAATACAAGGACATTTACCTGACGTAAGGGAGTCTTGGGTTCTAGTTCCTGGTTCACGGTCTATTTCTGTATTTTATTGAACTATACTAATGCCAAAGCAGTCCCTGAAGCAAAAATGAGAACCTAAGACTTCTCCCATCATAGATGGGTATCCTTATTGCTTGGCTAGTCATGTTTACTCTTCTTGAGCCCCGTTCCTTTCTGTGCAGTGGCGCAGCTTCAAAAGAAGAGGTGGGGAAAATATTTCCATCCCACCCTGGTCTTTAAGCTGGGACATTCTCCTGGGTATTGGGAGATGTAGGCTGGAACTTCCTCAACCTGAGAGGCTTATGGGTTTGGAATCTGTCTTGCGTAGGCAGAAAAAACTGGTAGACAGAAGATTTCAGGTACAACTCTTTGGTGGTTCTTGTGTAGCTTAGGGATTTCCTCATTCAGTGTGCTGGGTGTTTTGAGTCTTGATCATGGGCATTAAACGTTTCCCTTTTTAAAGTATAGGGAATCAAGACTCTTAAGTTTGTCAATTCTGTTTCCAGATTTAGATACCAGAGTCCAGCATCAGCATGTCTGTGTACCTTTGTGAATATTGAACTGAGCCTGAGTCTCCAGCACGGTATAGGTGCTTTGTACTGTACTGCAGGTAGATCCTTCTTGTTGCCTGATATTGGAAAATCACCCTAGTGGGAGTTCTGCTTTAATGTATATCAGGGACGTCAAACAAGGCCTGCCATCCAGATCTGGCCCACTGACTCGAGTCATTCACCCTGCAGACTTTTGCCGTGGCTCTGGCTGTGATGTGGGGGGGCTGCCCACAGTGGTAGCCACTGCCTCAGGGAGATAACACTGTAGGCAGAAGCCCTGCCATTGTTATCAAAGCTGGGGCAAAAGCCCCTGGAGCTGCCTGCACTTCTGGCTCTCACCAGAGTTCTCTCTGCTACCATGGGAAGCCCTGCCACCTGCTAGACCCTGGCTGTAGCCTACTGGTTTACCCACAGTCACACTGGGGCTGTCTGTGTCCTGGCTTTCGCCAGGATGTGAGCTGCTGCTGTGGGACCCTACAGTACTGGTCAGGTTGTCTGTCGGCACTCCACTGAGAGGCAGACACTGGCTTCTGCCTGCAGTGCTGGGGATCTGGCAGCTGCTGTGGGAAGCCCTGCCATTATGGCTAAAGCCTGAGCTCGACATTGTGGTGGAGCCTTTGACCACAGTACTGCTAGGGTTACCTGTGCCCCAGTGAAAGCTCCCTGATGGCAGAGCGTCAAACGATGGTGATGTTTGGGTTGATAGCACCTCAGCTCTCACCAGCATGTTTTCTGCTGCTGCAGGAAACTTTGCCACTGCAGCCAAAACTAGGGCTCCAACAGTGACGGTAGTACTTGACTGTGGTGCTGCTGGGGCTGCCACCCACACTAGCACATGGACTGCTGCCATGGGAAATCCTGTCACCATAGCCAGAGCCCTGACTCTGGCTGTGGTGGCACAAGGTCTTATGCATAGGGTGCTAGCTGCTGCCTTGGGATCGCCACTTCTGCTCGTGGTGCTGCTGGGGTGCGGCCTGCAAGCACCTGAAAAGGACAGAAGATAGTAGGGCTGTGCAAAGTTCCAGTAGTCGATTCAGTTTGGAGGAGATTCGGCCCAATTCAGCGGCTGAATCTCCAAATCCAAATAGATTTGGAAGCCTTATTAAAAGATCTGAATCGTTTTGGAAGCTCCCGAATTGACTTGGAGGGATTTAGTGTCGATTCGGAGATTTGGCCAGAGACTTAAACAGGCAGCAGCCCTTGACCATGCTGGACACAGCTGCTTCCAGCTGTTAAGTCTGTTGTGGTGGGTGGAGGGGGGAGGGAAGGAGCGTGGGGAGGCACTGGCAAAACGTAGGGGTTGCACTTGTGTGCACATGCACCCTCTGAGAGAGGCCGCTGCCAGCGGCATCTGTGGGTGGTCGCCGCTTGCCTTTGCCCTCCTGCCGCTGACACTGCTGGTGGTGTCTGCGGGCAGTTGCCACTTGCTACCCCCCATAGCCACGCCACTGAGGCGTTCATGGGGGGTGGGGCAGATCTCTGTGTACTGCTGGTCCTGGAGGGCATGGGAGCAAGCATGTGCCCCTGGATTTGTGCAAGGCAAGCTGGGCTGCGCTCCAGGAGGCTAGCCCCAGCTGCAGCCCAGAGCACAGCCCTGGCTCTGCCCACCCTGCAGAGTTTCAGTGGAGCGGGGGCTATGAGGGGGCTGCAGCCACCCTGAAATTCCCCGTAACCCCTGCTGCTGGCCCTGCCTGGTCCAGGTGCGTGCACTTGACCCCATGCCCTGCCACTGCTTGCCCAGCTGGGGCAAAGCCTCAGCTTGTCTGGGAGGCTGGAGCGGCTTATCTGAAGCAGCGCAGTGGCACTGTCCTGCGCCTTCCTACCCTGGCTGGTTGAGTGGTGGGAGGGTGTAACCCCTGCTCCCAGCACCACAGCCCAGCCCAGCCCAGCCTCCCCCATGCAGATCTGGGGTCATACACCTGCTGCCATGCCCTCCTGGACTGGCAGCTCTCCACCGGAGGAGCCACTGGAAGAGCAGATCCCGGACCAGCAGCGTGCAGTGGTGGGAACCCCGCTCCCAGAGTCCTGTAGCCGTGCCCGCCCCCCCCCCCCCCAACTGGGCAGCTTGTCCAATTCCTCCCTTGCTGTGGGGGCATTGATCTGCCCCCCCTTCCTCCTTCCCTCTGCCCCCCGCAGCAGACTTACCAGCCTGAGGAAGCTGTGTCCAATGTGAAGGACTCCTGCCTGTATAGTTTATGGCCAAATCTCTGGATCCGAATTGGCCGAATTGAATTGGGACAGTGCCACATACTTCCTGCTTCGTACAGGCCTGGAAGATAGCCCTCCAACCCACTTGAGTTTGACACCCCTGATGCAGATGATCCTTTTTCCTTCCTCCACATCCACCATTTTGTGCTACCAGTGTAGTCTGTGTACCTGGAAAAAAAGTATGGTTGCCAGTTCCTGGCTGCTATTTTGGCCCTGCTTTAATTTATGCTTGGATACAGCCCTACATGGTGATCCTGGGACTGGGGTGGGGGGTAAGAGGGGGGTAGAAGGTGCAAAAAAATATGCAGCAGTTATGTGATTGTAAACCATCCTTGTATTGCTTTCCTTTAAACTATGCTCTGCGCACCTTTGCTGTAACAGGATCTGGCTGGATTATAATTTGCATTGTCCACTGAGCCCAAGAAGTTGAATACCTTTCAATTAGTAATTTTTGTGGTTATTAAAAGAATTATTTAAAATATAAAGTAACAGTAGGGTTATTAGTATGAATATTTACTGACCTACCTCTATACAAAAGAAGAAAAAATAATTCAGTGTCATCTAATGAAACAGCTGTCTTAAGAAGTTGGTTTCCTGGGTGGTTTGATAGAGGAATGAGCCTGTAGAAATCTGAAGGACAGTAACTCCTAAACCTTCAAGATAGGAAACTGTTCCTATAGCAACAATTTTTTTCTTAAATAAGAATGCAGCGCAACAAGGACACCCAACCTATGGGGAGAGCAGAGCGTTTGGTGTAATATTGAGAAAGATTAACCATTTTAAGAAAGCATGAATGTGCTCTGACTTGCCATGCTGTAAGTGGTCAATCTCAAAACTGCCAAATAATTTTTTTAGCCAGAAGTAATTTAATTTCAGAGAACTGTCACTTCCACTAAATTTTGTACTCTTGGGAGTAGTCTGGGTCTTAGAGAAAACCACATGTTGCATTTTAGCATGGGTACTTGCTTCATGATAATTTTCTGAATAATTAATACAGAACTTCTCAAGAAAATCCAGATTCCCTGGGTTAAGCCACACTGGTGACTGAGTCTGTCAAGAATGTATCAAACTTCTTAATTTTTTTACTTGTAAGCTCCCTCAGACAGAATATATTCTATATGATATTTCGGTGCCTCGTGTTTATATTGATTCTTACTCTGAATGCTACTCCAAGATCAGAAAAAATAAGACTGGAGTTATAGTTTGTACTATGTTTTCCCCTGATTCTCGAATGTATCCAACAAGGAGTTGAGTTGTTGTTGCTGTGTGTGGGGTGGGGGAGGGTTGTTTTGTTTTTTTAAGTTTCCTGATTTCTCTACTCAGGTTTTTATGGAGAAGTGTATGTTTCTGTTGCATTCTCTCTCAAGACTGATTGAATTAAACGTTTAGTAAACCATGGTCCTCTGGAGTTAAGACTGTCATTCTTAATATCAGAACTGTATAATATCTGTAAATGGTTTTTAAGTCTATTAAAATGCATTTGGGTATCTTATCCTAATAGCTATATCACAAAATATTCATAGTTTGAAATCATTAAAATGTGTGACACATCTAATGGCTAAAATATATTCATCATTACTACTGTATTCTGAATACAATACAGATTTTGTTATATATCTCTAACTTACTGAGACCAGGATGGTAAGATTCTCACTGATAGAAAAGTACGTGTGGCATCTTATTCCCCTGCAAAAAAAAGACCTGGGTACTTCAGATGGTGCAAATGCATGATAATGAAGAGCTCATAATATATTAAATTATTAAATTAAACTGCAGTCTGTGGAATTCTGCAATCCTTAGAGAATTTAAATAGCAATATTAAGTTTGTCTCTTAGTATAAGCTTGACTTATTGTTTCATATACAATCAATCATTTAATTTATATATTAATGTTTTCTTGGCAAACATTTAAAATTAATGTGTGTGGAAAAGTAACTTTTACAGTTCCTTAAAGTGGTTCATAATTCTGAAGTTTTTGTCTGAATTTTATTTAGTATTGTATAGCCATTTGCTTGCTTAGTTTATTGCTGTAGTAATTCCTAACTTTTGTTAAAAGGATATATTAGCAAATGTGAAAAAAGCTCCAACTGTCATAACAGACTTGGATTCATTTTTACTTGACTTGCATTTAAATTTTGTTTTTTGTTTCTTTCTGTAAAGAATAAAGGTTCACTTCAATTTGAAGACAAATGGGATTCCATGCGCCCCATTGTTCTGAAGCTTTTGCGCCAGGAATCTGTCACCAAACAGCAGTGGTTTGATCTATTTTCGTAAGTATTTTTTTTAAGCTGCAGTTCTTGAATACCTGGATGGAAATTAAGATATAATATCACTTGTAGAAATCATGTAAAATCAGCGTGCTCACAGGCAAAACATTGCAAAAATTTCTAGTTAATTCAGTTCTTCTAAACCAGTAGCACTGCTGTTTTGCATTTTTTAATTGCAATTGCATAAAGTTTTACACAGAGTGAAAGCACAGGGTTTTTGCTTCTTCAGTTGATAATATGTTATATATGCCCACAAGCCTTTCACAGTGTTGTTGGAAAGGGGAGTACATATTATTTCGTGCTTTGATAGTAAAGTTTGCATACACGAGCAAACCTACCATGGGACAGCTAGCAATCTTTGCTCTGACACTGAAACTAGAAATGACTTACGATAAATTTTAAATACTTAAAGCACTCTTAAATGTTTTACTTTTTTACTCTTTATTTATAGGCTGCAGATAATCTTTCCCTTCAAAGAGATTGCATTTCAAGCTACATATACAATGTTATGGCTGTTATATAACAAGAATTGGCAACCCCTGGCATGTGTGCCAAAG